ATAGATAGATAGATAGATAGATAGATAGATATATAGATATAGATATGTATAATAAAAAAAAACAACAACAACAGCAACAACAATAACAAACAACTCCTCTGATAATTGATAATTGAAACATTTATCTTAGAATATGTTGATATAGAGAAAGAAATGCTTTTTAGAAGAAAAAAGGTGAAGGAAAGGTGAAAAAGGTGCCCAAGTAATACTTGCATTTTTCCTCACTGATCAAACAGCTTCATGTGTGAGGCTTGTGTAGCGGCTTTAATGCAATGCCACCTTTTGTCATGGGATTTTCTCCTTCATTCCAAGAAGGAGCTCTAGAGTGTCTAGACAGTATTTTTGTAGGGAGTAAAAATTGATTGAGAAAAGTTTTAATTTCACTGCTGGTAAAATTTGTTTGAATGCTGCTTGATATATATTTCAGAAAGGCATATTTTAGAGAAACTGTAGAGTGTTTGCAAATAATTATTCGAAATATATTACACGAAGGCTGATATCTAATATCAGCTGTTTTGAGCTGTACGAAGAAAACAAACAAAAACTAAAAGTTTATTAGTGGAACAAGAAAATAAAAGTAGAAGTTATCATTTGCATGTGTGTAATGTGTGGTTTCCCACAGATCTCCATGCGCCTGGTGCCATCAACAACAAATGCAATGGGGCTACACATGCTGCGGCAGTTACACCTTAGTCGGGCGAAACTCAAGGCTTCTAGTAAGACGTCTGCACTTCTCTCTGGCTTTGCTATGGTGAGTTTGGCATTATTACCTTCCTTAATTCTGATAATGTTCCCCCCCTCCAATTTGCACACATTTTTTGTGTTTGTCAAATTATTTTAGACTGTCTGAGATGCAACTTTTCTCTTTTCTTAGTATGTATGATGCCATTGCCAAAAGGGTGCATGAGGGATGAGGTAGACATTCCTTGATTATGTCTGATGGGTATTAATATGAGTTGTGTGGCATTCCTTTTTGCATTTGAAGTCTATATAAAGCACTTATTATTGTAGAAACCTAACTGCTGCATCCCTTTAATATTTACCTGAACAGAATGTAGTTGGAGTAATAGGTGGTATAGTAGGGTTACTTTACTGGAACTAGCAACAAAACCAAAAACTTTTGATATGGTTTTATGTATATAGATGAATTCCTTTGTACAGAAAGTCCCCAACTTATGAACATAATGGGGACTGAGAGGCTGTTCATAACTCCATTTATTTCTATATCCAAAGTTGGGTCTCCATTGCCTTTTTCCCCATTGTTTTAAAGTTTTGTTTACATTAAGAATACCTGTACATAAATCCCAATAAGTAATTTTGATGGATTGATGAAAGGTAAAGCGAATTATGGCACAAAAATTGGCGGTACACGATGACACAGTGAACAGATGCTTTCGTGTTTATGGCAGGAGGGCAGGCAACTGAGGCAAGTGATGCGCAAAGCTGAAAATAAGACCAAAATCAAGTGCTGAATGTATGTTTAGTGTGTGGACTTACAGTGGCTGTAGTTCACCAAACAAATATTCTTATTAATCCATTAGCATAGTATCATGAAGTAGAAAATATCATGTGCACTTTTGGTTACTATATATGAGTCTGGGCAAAGTTAAAAATGCTAAACTAGCCAGTTTGGCTTGTGCAAGAAGATAATGCATAATAACAAAGTGTATAGGAGTATGGCGACCAGTGAGTAGATGAGATAATTGAAACAATGAAGAAACATTTTGGTATATCATGGAAAATTGGTTGAATATATAGATAAGTTACTGATAACATGAAATAATAATTATATCTGTAGTTGTAGATAGACAAACAATTAAACATTTCAGCAAATTTCATTCCCAGAAGAAATGAAGTGTAGAGAAAATAGTAGAACATTTTTATATTATTTATCCTAACAACTATATGTAGAATGTAAAATGTTTTCAAGTAGGCCAAGCAAAATTTAAAGAACACGGGGTGCCATTTGTTGTATGGAGCCTCACAAAACATTATGTACCATTAGTTTCAAATCTTATGCTGCTTCTCTACCCAAAACAAATGAAACACATTTCTGGTCAGAGTTTGAATTTATGATATTCATTATTATGGCAGTGTTGATATTTCAACTGCCATATTTTGTCCCTGCATCTTTTTGTAAGGTTGTGATGGGGATTGAAATCCAAGTGTGATGCTGTTTGTTACAGGTGATGTGTCATGGGTAGAGATATAAGCCAATATATTTGGCTTACTAGTTGTTTGGCATGAAGCATCAAAATATCCAGTTTGTAGGAGTTAAATTGGCCAGGAATGTATCTTGAAAGGGGGGAAAATTGGCTGTCTAGTAGGTTAGGCACAAGGTGTCTGCTGTCAGCCAGTCAGGACAAAGCAGTGGACTGTAGGACGTTCCTCCTGTTAACCCACAGGGATATGTGTGTAGGAGGTGGGATGATCTAACCTGGGTTTTTGTGCAATGTATGCAGGCCAGGGGCCAGAGCTGTGACAGTACTTTCTCTCTAGTGAATGGGCTTTGCAAGCAATTTATAATATATCTGAATCACTCCAAGGTCAACTAATTTCAACTAATACTGGATTTAGTTTATTTGAATATTCCTCAGAAGGTTATCAGTGCATTGTGAGATCCTGCTGTATGATGGCTGGTGTTGCAGATGTGTATTGCAATGCTAGAAATAGATTTTGGTTTTGATTGGAGTTTGTAATCATTGTTCACCTTTGTATCAGGCTGTAAAAATTGTTTGCAATTTTTCAGTTGTTGTGCCTGATAAAGAAGTCACAGACATTTTAATCCAAAGTCTGGGCTCTGTCATCTTATTAACCCATTCGCGCCGGGTAAAAATGAACAAAAAATGGGGGAAATGCTGTGCTCATTTTTTATATTTTTTAATGAAATTTCTCTACACTAGATGGCTCTGCTTTACCTGATTTCATTTGGCGGGAAAATATATTTTTAACTAGTGCTATGAATATCGATGGTTATTTTTATTATAAACATTATAATTACTATAATGTTATAAATATTAGTAACAGCAAAATAAGATAACGCAAAATAATTTCGTAAATTAAAGAAAAGGGTAAACAGACGAGACAGGCAGTACAAGTGCAAGTGGAGCCATCTATGTTTGTAAACAATCAAACAAGTAAACTCACAGTGGGCCCGTCACGTATACGTGACGCCCGGTGCGAATGGGTTAACTAGACTAGGAATGTGTTAGGTAATCAGTGTAGTGGATATGGAATTACCTGTCCAATATATGAGTTTTGATGTATCGGCTAGTTAGGACTTTGCAGTGGGTTGGGAGATCTTCCTATTGTTGACTGATCAGAATCCTGGATGTAGGATAATATTACCCAACCTGTGCAACACATGCAGCCTGGGAGCCAGTGCTGTTTTAGCTAGTCTTTTCAGTAACCCATGATGATTTACTGATACTTGATCATGAATATGATTAAAAAGAAAATTTATGGTGACAAAATTAATTATTTAATAGATCCGTTTAAATCATCCCATGATACCAGACGGCATACAGACATGTCATGCCAAGGTTGTGCATGATTACTTGTCTGCATGTATATGTACCATGTGATTTGACACCAAGTTGTTTCATGTGTCTGTGTATATTAACCCAAATGCCAATGGGCATGGCATATATATACAGGCCATGACCACTGTGAGTTTACTGTTTAATTGTTTCTACACATAGAGGACTACACTTATACTAAGTCACCAATGAGCCAATTATGAGTACTGCTTGTCTTGCCAGTTCACCCTTTTCATTGATGTACGAAAATATTTTATGTTATCATATTTTGCTGTTACTAATGTTTATGACATTATAGTGATTATAATGTTTATAATATAAAGATATTCACAGCACTAGTAAAATATACGTTTTTCCCGTCAATTCAAGGAAAGGTGAAATCAGGTAAGGTCACAAGGTCTACTAATTGACTCCTTTGTGGCTAAGCACTAGCAGATCATCTATGTGCAGAGACATTTCACAGAAATAAATATGAGTACAGCATTTTCCCCAGCAGAATTGGGTTAAGTTATTTGTAGAATATGTGTTATCATTGTTTCCAATCATAGTTGGAATATGTGTTATCATTGTTTCCAGTCATAGTTGAAATATGTGTTATCATTGTTTCCAATCATAGTTAAAATCCTCAGCATGATTATGAAAATAAGACATTTGCTTTTCTGAGAATGAAATTTACCTCAAGAGTTTCAGTATTTGATTTATACTTTTTAATTATTTATTGAAAGGCTGCTATTGCTGACCTGTGGGAAGTGAATGAAATCAATATGATTATTATAAAACATACTTAAAACAAGAGAAAAGCCAAGAAATGTCTTAAAAAAATAGCGATGCATATGAAATGAAAAAAACATCTCATAGGCAAACATGATAATTCATTATGTCATTTTCCTTATTTCTTTCATGTTTAACCCCCATAGGACAGCAAACCCTCCAGCTTGTCTATCAGCCACAGAAAAGGCATGGTTTTTCAAGATTTAACAAGGCACGTATTGGTTGCAAGGATTTAACCCCGAACCAATGGGTATGGCATATGTGTACATTCCATGCCCACATTCAGTTTACTTTATTGCTTTTACACATAGATGGCTCCACTTGTACTGAGTCACCAATGAGCCAGTTATGTCTCACTTGTTTACCCTTTTCCTTGATTTTCAAAAATATTTTATGTTTTCTTTTATTGCCACTACTAATGCCAATAACATTATAGTAATTATAATGAAAATAACACCATAGATATTCATAGCATTAGTAGAAAAAACATTCTTCCCACAAATTCAAAGAAA